CACCCAAGCCCGCCGGATTCGTCTGGTCCGGTTGCCACGTGACTCGGCACCTAAAGGAAGATTCCGTGGGATGGATGGATGGATGGATGGATGGACGGACGGGATGGATAGATACAGTACGTTAGCGGCCATCGCCGCGTGGCGTCTCACCTGGCTACAGCACCTAGGCAGGAGGGGCGAGTCACCCTCCCTCCCGTCGACCTGACTCCATGGATCAGACAATGATTCGGCACCGACGAGCTGGACAGACGGCAGCTGAAAGAGCGACAGAGAAAGGGAAAAAAAACTTGAAACCTTCGAAAGAAGAGGGGGAGACTCTCAAATCAGAGGGGGCTGCGCGCGACGTGAGGCTGAGACAGTCTGTTCCGCCCCCAGCAGTCGAGTGTGAGTCGAGTACCCCGGTGCCACGGAGGGCCTCCACGGGTGCAAGAAGTAAGGGATAGCGTGTCGCGTCGCAGCTCTGTCTTTGGGTGATGCGAGACGCAAAATGGAAGACAAGTCAAGCGTGGGCCAGTCACGGCTAACACTAGCTTATGTCCCGGAATTCGGACGCTGGCCGCGCCAGAGCGTCTGGCGCCTGAATCATGCCGAATTCACAACCTCCCGTCGCTCGTGCCGTCGGTCAAGTCAAGGTGTGTTGAAAATCAAAACTTTGGATTTGCTGGGAGTTTCCCCCACTCCTCATAATTCCGCGCCGGGCTCGCAAGCCTAGAGATCATCGCCTCAAAATGTCCTAAGTACATGAGCCTGAATGATCAGACCGTAAACCCAATGCCCTTCCGAGTAACGCCCGATGATGCCCTGAACCGGCTGGTGCCCAGCCGATCAATGCTGGACCCCAGTGATGATATCGTTAGTGTACATGCAAGGTAATGCGCCGATGCTGTTGGTGATTCTTTTTTTTTTTTCCTTGTTTCGGCCGCGCCAGCGTGCGTCGTCAAAGATGCAGTCCGACACGGTCGAATGATGAGGAGACCGTGGGTGGTGAATGGCGCGGGGTTTGAGGTAAAGTCGCGAATGGCTAACTCGGGCCATCTGGGGTATCATGCCTCACAGCAGAGGCTGGTTTTGTAAATGCAATATGAATAATAGGGTCGGCCTCAAAGATCAGGTCAAAGTATCTTCGAGGCTTCACAGTGAAGACTGCGACAGTGCGGGCGAGGCTCGTGCGAGCCGTGCATATCGGCAACGATGGTGTGCGCATACGCAGATTCGTTGTCCGTCGGACACTGCAGTCTGCAGAGAGATTGCAATGGCGACGTGGGTACTATTGTTACCCCAGGCGATGGATGCGAAGTCTCGCGCCAAGCCGTCCAAGTATTTGCGTCGGTGCTGGTGGGCTGTTCTTATTTCTTGCCCTTGGTACCTGTAGCGGTGATCTTGCCAGTGGTCATGAGATCACCGATGTACTTCTGAAGGAACTTATTATTATTGTCCAGCTTGTCGTGCTCCTCTCGTACGGCCTCGATGCGGTGGAAGATGGTGAGGAGGGATTCCTGTAGTGCCTTGGCATGCCTGTCGAAAGGGGAGAAGGGTCAACATTGCAATTCGTTTGAGGCTTTCCATGTGGACCATGGTACATTGGTGTGGAGGGTATGGCCTACCTCTTGAGTTCCTCTCTGGCTTCCCTTCCGAGGGCCTCGATGTCCTCGCTCGTTCTTCTCGGGCTCATTGCGCGCACATCGTCGGGACCAAAGGACTGTTCGATGGGACCGACGGCGGAGCTGTCGCGGGGGACCACGAGGGGGCCGCTGGACTGTCGACTGGGGAGGCGTGGGCGGACTGGTCTCGGAGCATGAATGTGGTGTCCCTCATGATCATTGTCGACAGACGACGAAGACGAGGAGCTCGACGAGGAGCGCTCGATGCGGGAAGGGTGGATCATACTCTCACCGTTGTCGCCGTGCTGCTGATCCACGTCCATGGGGTCCATGATGCTCAAGACGGCAGCAGTGCTTCTCTGGAGGCGGAATGTGGAAAGGGCAGAGAAGGTCGTGGTCCGACAGAGCGACGAAGGGTGATTGATAGAGCCTTGGATGTGACGACGGGTGGGTTTTTCTCGAATACGTGTATGGCAGGTAGTAGAGGTGTAGGAAGGGTTGCCGTGGTGCCGGGTCGAGGTTTTGCGTTTGCGAAAGTATGTAGTGTGGGTGGTAACGTGGGTGGTATCGTGGGTGTGGCAGCGGGCTTATGAGGTTGGTGTTGTGAGTGGTTGGAGGGTGGGTAGCGGACGGAGGTAAGGTTAGGTAGGTAGGTTAGGTAGGCGCAGGACGCAGGCAGGGTCGAAGTGACGGGGAAATCAGGGGCGTCTGCGCGTATACTGTTGGAATTTCGATCGGTGGGCGGTGCGAGGCCAAAGTTGCGTCAAGATGGGTTTGCCACCGATTTGAGCGACTGGATAGAAGTCGGAACGAGAAGAGAGTGACGGTGACTCGACACGACTCGACACGGGGAAGGGGGGAGAAGAACTCGGGTGACGAAGGTGGGAAAAGGCAGAGGAGGGTGGTGTGCACAGCAGCAGGAGCAGCAGCAGCAGCAGAGGCAGAGAGGCCAGGGTGCCGGGGTGCCAGAAGCCAGGATGCCAGGGTCCCCGTCCGACGAGATGGGATGGGGGTGGAGACGGTCTTTCGTCGTAGTGCCTGTGTGGGAGGGATTCGGTGGCAGGACGGTCAGGTCAAGACAGGAAAGGCTGGGTGGGAAGAGAGGGGTGGAGTGGAGGAAGGCAAGTTGGGCGGGCGGGCAACTAGGTGGACAGACGGACAGGCAGGTGGGTCTCTTTGGGGGGGGGGGTTGTCCGCGTTGGAAGAGGGAGTAGCGGCAGCGGGTAGGTAAGCCCCAAAAATTTAAGGGTCCAAAAGCCCGCAAGAGGGCAAAGCAAGGGGGGGAAAGTTGATGGATGATCAGGAAACCAGGAGACCGGACGAAACAAGCAGACCCTGCGGGAGCCCAGTATTGGCACCAGGCTAAGGTAGGGTATCGACGCACGCAAGCAGGTGGACTGATTCATGAACTGCCCGGACGGAGC